TTATATGTATTATTATGATTGCCTGAAAATGATTCCAATTCGTATCCTTATGGGAGTATCATTGAAAAAAAAAACACTTTGAGATAAAACGAACAAGAAATGGGCTAGAAGAAAGAGAGTAGGCTTGGGCCTTGGAGCTTAAGCCCGGGAAACCATCTCTCATAAATTTCTCGGGCAAATGGAAGATTGGAAAAATAGTCGTAGCGAGATCCAATGCCGATATGCGTGTCTTATATGATATATTCAGTTTTGTACTTTTGTACAATAATATAATTAATCATATATATGCAAAATAGATATAGATGGTTTTATATTAAATCAGACAAAAGCTAGTACATATCGTACACTAGATAATCTCCACCATCCGGTCCCATCTCAACGATCAACATAAATACGTATCGTTGAAATCATGTTTAGTTATGTTATAATCTATTGTTGTGGCAACAAAAGATGGCAAAAATACCTGAAGTAGATAAAAATAGTGAAACAACTTAAAATAACTTCCTTGATGTTTTTAATAGATTTTTTTGCGGATTCTATCAGTTGTTGTAATCATTTGAACGAGCGCATGTGATCAAATTTCACTAAACCCACTTTCTATATATTTTTTCTTCATTTTTGCATAACTCATCACAGAAAATCTTATTGCCAATATTATTTTCATATCTTTTTCTTTCTCAATCTCCGTGTAAAGCGCTATGCTACACACTATCTCTCCTGATATTAAATGGAGTCCAATAAAGTAACTAAACAACTTCCATGATTTCTCACGATGACCAACTAAACATGTTTTTTATTTTCATTTTCATGGTGTTGTAGTTTTACCTCTATTATCCATGGACCAGGAAACCGTATCGTACCAGCCGGTTGAACCGGTAAAACCGGAAACCGGACCAGATCCGATACGGTACAGATTGTGCAGCGAAATTATCGTACCGGCCGACATTCATAGTTGAACCGGCGTACCGCGAAATGCCGGACGGTTTTGATCCAACCGGCGGTCCTTCAAACCTAGGTAAAAGTTTGCCGTTTCATACAAAGAAGAAATTCTTTTTGGGTTGGGCAAAGGCGCATCGCGAGGCACTCTCCACTCTTCAATCTCGCGCCCTCTTCATTTCCCCCTACAGCTGGAGATCCGATCAGAGAAGAGAAGGTTGCCTTCGTTTGTATTTCCCAGCCGAGCTTGAGAACGAGAAGGCCACGTTGTTCGTCGTTCTTCTTTTCCAGCCAAACCCGAGAACGAGAAGGTCGACTTCGTCCTTCATCTTCTCTCGGGCCTTCCGATCCAATCCGAGAACGTCATCGTCGCAGCCCGTGTTCTTCTCTGCTCTTTGCCTGTTCGTCGTCCGCCGAGTCGAGATCGTCATTCGTCGATTCACCTAGGCATATTAGGGATTTTGACTTTTTGTGCAGAAAATGAATGATTTTGACTTTTTGTGAAGTTGGAAACGAAATGAGAGGAAGAACACGAGTGAAAGAAGGAAGGAATTAAATGTCCTCTTGTCTTCTTATTCTTAAGTTAGTGGGCTTAAAGAGGAAGTAAGCCCAAAATGAGGCAAGCTCTTTTGCATTTTTAGGCCTGTGTTTTAGGCCTGTGTTTTAAATTATACACCAGTCATCAAATTCCTTACTCATTGCATTTTAGGCCTGTGTTTTAATGATTATTACAAAAACGGTATTTACCGGTATGAAACGGTTGAACCACGGTCGTACCACAAAAAACCCTACCAAAAAGGAATCCGGTTTGATGTCCGGTACGGTTTCCTTTACCATGCTATTATCACAACAATACTGCAAACATAATAACAAATCAAAACTATAGGCCGTAGAGATAGGGTCTAGATAGTGTGACAACACCCCTTGTGTTGTTATTGTAACAACACTAGTCTCCAACCAATAGGAAGTTAGGGTTGTGATGACTTTTTATTAGCTGAGTTGACCTAGTGTAAAATCAAAGCAGTGGTATAATTGTCATTATGAAAAATATGTTTAAATAATAATAAAAATAAAAAAATCTTTTTTTATTTTCTGCCCAAAATTTTGGTCGCCGGAATTTAGACACCGGTAGGGTTCAAGAAGGCGCGCCTAGGCGCACGCCTAGGCTCAATTAGGCGCTAGGCGGTGGAGGATCGCCTTGACTTGGCCATATGCGTTGTAAAAGGCGATGGTAGCGCTTAGTAGGTAGGAATAGCGCTTAGTTTGCGCCTAGTGGAGAGAAGGCGTGCCTGGGCGTTCCTGGGCGAGCTTAGGCGGTTAAACCCAATACTCTTCGTTTTTTCCTATAAAATCAGAAAACTGTCTCTTGCCCTAGAAAATCAGAAACACAGGAAGGGGATGACCATGCTATGTATGTATTCGTAGATGAGGATGAGGAATCATATTGTGCACCCTCGAGTACTGTTACAGATGCAATGGCGGGTGAACAGAGTGAGCTTCGCAGGAGTGCACGAGTGAGAGAGCTCCATGATGAAGAATTAGTGTCTGAAGAGGAGGAAGAAGATGAGGATGGTGAGGAGATTTCTTTTGAGGATGATGAAGATGAAGTGGTGGCTGGACGGACCTACTTGGATGATGAAGAATGAACATTTTCCTATGAACTTATTGACTATTGTTTAGTATTTCGACATTTTATGAACTTGTGATTCTAGGAAGTGGTCACTATTTGCTTGTTATTTGTTATGTTAAGTGTTTACTGTTAAGAACTAGGCATTGCTAATTTTATATGCACTTGGATTATATGAATTATTCCAGAAAACAGGAAATATTTGAGAAAATTTTCCATTTATGCTCTGAACGCCTAAGCGCGCCTAAGCTACGCCTAATCAGGCAAGGCGCAAGTCAGGAGCCGAGCGCCTGCCTTACTCACTGGTCGCTGGAATCTGGTCGCCGATCACCGAAATATTCTTTTGTCGTCGGAATATGCTATTTTGTCATCCAAATATGCCCACCGTCGCCGGAATATGCTCACTGTGGCCAGAATATGATTACCAGCGTCGGAATCTAGTCATCGGGGCCGGAATATGCCAATCGGCGTCGAAATCTGCTCACTGACGGTCGTCGAAGTTTGGTCAACGAACTTTGTTGACCGGCAAACGGTTAACGATCACCGGATATTATGGTTAGCATTGTGAGAACCATGGTTTGGTTTCTCATATTTTTGTATGCCTTTTGTGGTTTGCTTTATCGTGTTTCTAGTTTGCATTGTGAAGTTTCTGGTGCGCTTTCAAAAAATTTGTGGTTTGCTTTGAGGGATTTCTGGTTTGTTTGAATATTTTTGTGGTCTGCATTAGGACGTTTTCGGTTTGCTTTTTTGTGGTTTGATTTACTATGTTTGTGGTTTGCATTAGGAGGTTTCTGGTGTGCTTTCGTAAATGTTGTGGTTTTTCTGGTTTCAGTGGTTTGCATTAAGAAGTTTCTGGTGTGCTTTCGAAACTTTTGTGGTTTGCTTTGCGAGGTTTCTGGTTTGTTTTGATATATTTGTGGTATGCATTAGGACGTTTTTGGTTTGCTTTGTGTGTTTTGCTTTACCGTGTTTGTGGTTTGCATTAGGGAGTTTCTGGTGTGCTTTTCCAAATATTTTTGGTTTGCTTTGTGGGGTTCCTGATATGTTTTAGCGAATTTGTGGTTTGCATTAGGAGACTTCCGGTATGTTTTTTGTGGGTTGTTTTATTGCATTTGTGGTTTGCACTAGGGTTTTTTTAGAAATATTTGTGATTTGGTTTATTTTGTTTCTGGTTGGTTTTAGTGATTTGTGCTATGAATTAGGAAAATTATAAATTGACTTGTACTCACTAATTGTAATTACAAGTGAACTAAATTGGTGTATCTCATTTCTGCAATGAAAATTAAAATGAGTTAAATTGCAGTAGTTGGCTTTTCAATTTCATTGACCCGAGGCTCTTAAATTGCAGTAGTTGGTGTATCTAATATTTTATGTCTTTATCCTAGGAAGAGAAGAAGAAGAAGGCAGGGGGAGGAGGGTGGATCGTTCAAGAAGAATGAATCGAACAAATCCCGGGACTCATAGACAAAGAATGGTTGTCGAAACAGCCGGGTGATGTCGATTGTTGATGAACTTGACATGGAGTAGTTGTATGATGTCGCACCACAACGCCGACGCAGCAGTCCCATATCCTGCTCGGCGAGAACATCGACCACTGGCCCAAGCTTCAACACCGACCACGCCGACAGCCCGGAGAGCCACTCCTCGTGTCCCAACACCCCCAGCCTGTAATCAGTGGCGGATCCAGGGGGTGGCCATCCCGGGCCCCGGCCCAGCCCTTCTCTGGATCCATAATTAGTATAGGTCTTAGAAATTTTTCGATTTTAAATATTCGGGTCGTTGTTATTTTAAAATAAGATTGGGTATAATTAGAAAAATAATTCAGATGAACATATTCAGAATCAATACTCTAAATTTAGCTTATAAATTATAACCCCAAAGGTTATTCGTCTAAAAAAACAATGAAACCTAAAAATTCAAAAAGTTGAAAACGTAAAAGACTAAAACATATATGAGGTTTGTTACCTTGGAAAATTTACTAGAGCAGCTGGTGGATATGAGATGGAAACACAATGCAAATTGATTAGTAGATTGATTTGTCTAGTGTTGATGCTGCTCGTTTCAACAACTAATATGAATAGAACCTTTTCAACAACGAAACATGTGAAAATTGATTTGTGCAACAAAATGAGCGATGGATTTCTAGTCGATTGCTCAAGTATTTATTATTAATGCATTCACTAAATTAAAATACCATTGTGTGCAATTTACATTGTAAAAAAATTATAATCATTATGTTTTTTCACTATTCTAATAAAATGCGGCCCAGTGCACTTCTCGTCATGCTTGAACTATGGGACGGCGGCGACCCGGTTGAAGAGATTTATTATGGCGCAACGATCCAGTCGAGAGACAGGATTAGGAACCCGGCGGAAGACCCCGTCGTGTTGTGGCTCAAATAGCCTTCCAGATTCTTCTCCCTATGCTGCTTCTCGAAATGGATCTGAAAGTAATTCATCCCGTCACAGCTGTTGTCTTCTTCTCCTTCCTCCTCGTCGGGGGCCAATTTTCAGATGATCTCGATGCCGTCGAATTCGTCCAGGACAGTGGCGGATTGAGGAGCACTGCTTGCCTAAGATTGGAGGAGAAGGATCGACGCCTCAATTGTCAAAGGCAATGTTCTCGGCGGCGGCATAATAGAGGACTGAGGAGAAGCAGTCGGGAAAGGTAGGGGAAATTGAGATATTTTAATTTAATTTTTATTTTATTAGATTATGGGCTAAGTTTACCTTTATGCCCTTAATGGACTGTTGTTATAGTATCCACTCCCTTAGAGATATAAACACAAAATTCTAATTAATTATACTGGCGTTTTTGGATAAACCTCTGGTATGTCTGGTGTTTCTAAATGATTCCAAAGGTGAGTATATTTGGTACAAACACCCAATTCTAATGATCGTTTAGTTTTGGCTTGGCTTGGCTATCAACTCTATGACTGCTCAAGACTCCTGGGACCCGTTGCCATTCATGTTTAGTTGCGCGCTGAAACCAAATTTTGCAACGCGACGTCTGCCTGCTTGGACATTGGAAATCTTTACCGGCTATTCCAAGGAGCTGCCTGCCTGGTTGATCGATTTTGTGCCTTTTCTTGTCTTTAGGTTTATTATTCTACTTCCCAAATCTACGAAGCCATAATTTGCATGCATAATTTCTTATCAACTTATTCAGGTGAGGGGTGTCCTTTTTACATAATATCAAAATTTAAATAAATATTTAAACTCTAAAGTATGCTACTAGTTTTTTTCAATATTCAGGTAATTCAATTCTATGAAAACTAATATCTGAGTAATACAAGTTTCATTAATACATAACTGTATTTTATATTCTAAACGAAGTATAAAATACATTTATTTTTTGGGTCTAGCGTTAGAACCTCATATACAATTACCGAGGATGAATAATATCTCTCCAAAAAATTTAGTATGCTTTTTAATACACTTAAAAAATATGAATTTTTGTTACAAAATTATATATAAATATTCGATATTTCTCAAGTAACTCATTATTTGTGATAGATTGATAAAAAAAATTCTCAACTGAAATTCATCATTTGACTCTATATCTACTTTTAAGTAGGACTGGCTATTTGGTCTAGGCTTTTTAGTTTTACCTGAAATCAGACCATATAACCCGCATCGTGGCCGGATAACAAACAATCCAATCTCATCTTCTGGCTTAGATTTGAGGTAAAAAATCGTTTGGGACCGGATCGAAAACTGGATAAAGATCGGATAAGTGAACCCAACACCCAAAACTTAACCAATTCGTCATCCTTTCAGGCCTTAGGCAACTCAAATCCCCACAACTAATCTAAATCAAGACCAAATTGGGATCGAACCGGGTCAAGACTGGACCAGATCAAAATCGGATTGTATCCAATCCAATCTTTGGTCATTATATTCCCAAAAAGACCGGATAAGTGAACCCAACACCCAAAACTTAACCAATTCGTCATCCTTTTAGGCCTCAGGCAACTCAAATCCCCACAAACTAAATCTAAAATCAAAGCCAAATTGAGATCGGACCGGGTTAAGACCGGACCGGATCAAAATCAGACTGTATCTAATCCAATATTTAGTCCTTATATTCCGAATAAAACCGAACCGGAATCGAATCAATTTAAGCCTATTTAACCAGATCGGACCGTATAGTCAAAAGTAGATTATCTATAGATTGGTTATGAATAATTCTGTAGTTTGTGTTCAAACCCCCTCCATTCTATGTAAAAGTAATCAACAAGTCGAGGTGATTTGTTCAGATCATGCTGGTCTCACTGTGATTAAACGTTGAACCATCCAAATAATCTTATACATTATTCTGTGTAATAAAGAAATACTATCTCCACCAATATTATTTTCTGTATTTTGAATTTTTGATAAAGATGAAGCAATTTATAAATACATATGGGGAAAAAATTAAAATCGATGGTACACATCCGATGGATGTACAAGGAGTGGCGTCTTGAAGAGATCAACAGAAACAAAAGAAACGACACAAAAAGAAGGCGTCAGTGGTGGGCAAGCAAAACTGTATTATTATTATCTTGACCTCTTGTTTTAACTTAATTAATACCGAAAACAATTTTCTAAATAAAGTAATTATTTACAACTTTAGAACTCCACCTCCACTTTCCTATTCCATTCCCATTTTCTCTACTCTACTATAAAAGCAATTTTGATCTCGATCACCATTCAAACACAAACTTCACTGCCTACGAGCCCAGGCAAAAAATATACTCTATCTCCGATCATCTTGATCAACATGTGGGCTCGTCGTTTTATCATCAACGGGTCGCTGGCGGCCTTATCCTTGTCACTAATTATCAACATTCCGGCCGGCGATGCCTACAATTTCTCAGTCGCCAACAACGCCCCGGTGAGCACCCCGGGAGGTTCCCGCTACGCCAAGGAAATCGGCGGCAAAAACTACAGCTTGGTCGCAATGTCGAAAGCCGCGGATTGCGTAGTGAGCGTGTTTGGTCTGCTGGGTGAACTGAAGCCAGTCCAGAATATCAGCTTGATCATCGAGGAAGACATTACTACAACAGGCGTCCATAACCAAACTTGGGCCTACGTTAGCAACGCCAGCAACATCCACGTCAGCGCAAGGTACAGTTCTAGACTTTTTTTTACGGTAAAACTAAAACACCAAACTCGATCGATCGTCACTAATGCGCTACTTTAATTAATTTGTGGGCAGGTACCTCGGCGGGTACAAGGGCGCCGACGTGAAGAAGGAATTCACGGGCATCATTTACCACAGCATGGCGCGGGTGTTGCCGTGGGACGGCAAGGGTCAGGCTCCCGTCGGGCTGCTGACGGGGCTCGCCTCTTTCGTGAGGACGTACGCCGATCTGGCTCCGGCAGAGAGCACGGTGCAGTTCGGCGACGGGGACAGGTGGGATCAAGGTTACGAGGTGACGGCCAACTTCTTGATTTACTGCGAATCGTTGCGCGAAAAGTTCGTCCCCGAGCTGAATCTGAAGATGAAAGACGGGTACAGCAACGACTTCTTTTACCATTTGATCGGGAAGACGGTTGACCAGCTTTGGAAGGTTTACAAGACCGAGTTTGGACAATCATATTAACACACCATGACACCAGAATGATTCAGTCGTGTGAATTTTGACGATGTTCGCTTCATTTCGCGCTCTCCACTCCATTTTTGGATATCCAAGTTGTAACCTTTCTTATCTCTTAATTAAAAATGGCATTGATGTTACACCTTTTGTGACACTCTGTCATAAATGTACTAAGTTTCTAGATGATTTGTTTGAATTGTATCACCTCAAGTTTTGTTCATATCCTCGTGGATTATACTGCTTTGGCCGGCGGCCGGCTGTATGTGGATATTTTGCTGTACATAAGTACTGTGGACGGCGGAGCTCACAAAGACCAAACCACCTATGCCAGCGATCATAATATCAAATAGACCGGAAAAACCATCATTCATATTTTTCATCATCAAAACAACCCTTCCTCCAATCACTTTAAAACAATGGCTGCCATTTCTGGATCCATTGAATTATACAGGGTCTCCGATTCCACAGGCAACAATGGCTTCTCCAACCAAATCGGGATGGATCTCATCAAGAAAACGCTAGCAGACGCAACTGACTTCACCTGGAAGGCACTGCAGCTGAACACCCCTGCAGAAAGAAAAACCATACCAACAATCAGCTTGTTCATAGAAAACTCAGACGGCGTGGCATTCGCCGACAACGACGAAATCCACTTCAACGCGGGCTATTTGGAGAGGTACTCCAGCCACGACGACGAAGCGAGAAGGGAATTCGTCGGCGTCATCTACCACGAGATGGTGCACGTTTGGCAGTGGAACGGCGGCGGAAGGACGCCGGAAGGTTTGATCGAAGGAGTGGCTGATTACGTGAGGCTGAAGGCAGGTTATGGGCCAAGTCACTGGGTAGAGGCAGGGGAAGGGCAGAGGTGGGATCAAGGGTATGCCGTCACGGCTCGATTCCTGGATTACTGCGACCATCTGAGAGAAGGGTTTGTTGCGGAGCTGAACAAGAAAATGAGGAGCCATTATGATGAAGGATTCTTCTTTGATCTTCTGGGCAAGACGGTTGATCAGCTTTGGAGTGATTACAAGGCTAAGTATCAAGTATGACAAATGAAAACAGAGCATCCCCTGTTTGTTTAGAATGTATCAAATCAAAGTGTGAACTTCAACTTGTTACACTTCTACTTTATCAATAAAAACGAACCAGAAGCTTTGCAATCCATCAGTAGGTAGAAACACTGAATGTGATCCATCAGTTGGTTCATTGGCCAGAGAAATTTCCATAAGTGGACTTGTAATCACTCCAAAGCTGGGCAATGCTCTTCCCAGTCAGCTCCAGGAACAAGCCGTCGTTATATCCATACTTCATCTTCTTATTCAGCTTAGCCACGAACCTCCTGTGCTGAAGTTCGCAGTAAATCAAGAAACCAGTTGTAACGTCGTACCCTTGGTCCCACTTGTCTCCCTTCCCAAAATTCACCCAGTTATCCCCCGGATAGTGGGCTCTCGCCCTCACGAAATCCGCGATCCCAGTCAGCAACCAGGCGGGAGCCTGGCCATTGCCGTTCCACTGCAACACCAGCGTCATGCAATGGTAAATCAAGCCTGCAAATTCCTTCTTCACGTCCCTTCCCTTGTAGCTGCCAATGTAGCTGTCAGAGACGACGACCGATCAAGGTCAGTCAGATGTACGATTATATGATACGAGTCAATTAAAACAGACAGTGCCTACCTCCCGCTGACGTGGATGTTGCTGATGTCGCTGACGTATGCCCATCTCCCTTCACCAAGGTCTTCCTCAATGGTTAAGCTAATGTCCTTAACAGGCTTGCCACCATCGTGCACGCCCAGCACATGCAATACGGTACTTGCACTGTGCGACATGACAATCTTGCTGTACCTTTCACCGATCTCTATGGCGTAACGTAAACCTCCAATCGTGGTTACTGGGGCCTTGTTGGTGACCGAGAAGTTGTAGGCATCGCAGGTGGTCGGGATTGTAACGAGTAGCAACAATGATAAGGGCAGCAGCAGGCGACTATGGTGGTGATTTGGTGTCAACATGATGAAGGTGTGAGAAAGTATAACTGTGTTGGATATGGCTCCTAATGATCAACTACATTTATGATAGTCAAATAGAGCCGTGGAGTGAAGGAGTCAGAAATGGAATTAGTGTTCTTAGTTTGTATTTAGTATGAAGAGACGTAGGAATCACTATTAGATTTCTCTGTCAAATGAAATCACAAGAGGTCAAAACTCAAAATCATCGTAGTTGAACATTAGAAAAAAACTACCATCTGAATTTGGATTTCAGATTTGGACAAAAGTAGGATCAGCATAACCACACAAGATCGAGTTTGGAACAGAACAAAAGGCAAGGCATGCGCCGAGGCACTGGCTGGAGAGGCAGGGACAGGGGAGGGGCAGAGATGGGATCTAAGGGTATTAACTGTGATCTCACGGCTCGATTTCGGGATTGCTGTAACGATATTAGAGATATGAATTGTTGCTGAGCAGTTGTGATGAGGGAAGTTGTTCGTTGTTCTTCGTCTTCTGGTGAAGACACTTGAACGATTTGGAAATGACAAATGAAACAGAGCATCTCTAAATTCTCTTTATTATTAAATGTATCAAATGCGTGAGCTTTAGCTTGGTATGCTACCAAGAGAATGAGACGGACCAGAACATTACAATCCAGCGATATAATCAACCGAGGAAGAACAAGCAACAAGTATATAATGATCAAACCAACCACGTAACATATGGGATGTGGTTTTCCTTCAGTTACTATATAGTTGACTAGAACTGTCAATTATGAGTGGCATCCTTTGACTGTAAGCATGCTTGGAAAGGCCATCGGACGTAGTAGATGTTGCAGTTTAAGCTTGAAATACCTCATTATTGCGACTGCTGAATGGCCAACACAACTTCACCGATGGACTGGAACTTGCGCCTTCCCTTAAGGAGGGATTTCGCGAACTCGAGAGCTTGCCTCTCGCATTTGGCTCGCCTGCTTTGGTCTTCGATGGATTCTAAATCCTCTACGTGAGCCACGCCAACAATCCTCCTGCGAACAGAAAATGAATAAGCGATCATGTCACAGTATTTCGTTTTGTATCGATATCCTAAAGCGAAGTCCAAATCATAGGAACGCTATCATGTGAAGTACCATAAGATAAGTCCCAGGAAGCATGGATAAATGGAGGCAATTTCAGGACAGGGTTAGAGAAAATGAAGTAACAATAAATCCAGCTCACCTTATCATTTTGGCAGCACCAAAACCAAGGCTGTCATGGAGCAAATCTATCAAGAATTTCTTTTGCACTAGCTGCTGAACTTCGGAATTGTTGTAAATCTCTGGAAGATATGCTTCTCCTTCACCGTCCTTGTGCTTATTCCAAAGTGAGGTGAATTTCTTCTCAAACAGGCTCCAAGTGTCGTAAATTGTCTTCAAAAGCCATTCTTTATACGCCTAAAAGAAATTTGTTCACAAACATAAGCAAGGATACTGCTAGTCATAATTACTTAAAATAGCATGAAAGAGACAAGATACAGAAATCAGATTCTCGGATTAGAAGTGAACTTTTTTATCTTCAAACATTAGATAAAAGAACTTTCAATCATTTAAATTAGAGGACTATGACTAAGAAGAACAAGATAAACATGAATTATAGAGAACAGAGGAAAGCAGTTGCATCCCCAGAACAGAGCGGTTCTAGAAGTAGCAAGGAACAAAATATTACCAAGGGAAACACATAACTAATCGAACTTACTTTGCGGTCATTCGAAGCATCAGCATGCCCATCTTGAGCATAGTACGCCAGAATCAAGTTTCCGATGAATGCTCCAATGTCGTAGCCCATCGGACCATAAAATCCAAATTCTGGATCTATTACCTGAGTGGACTCAGGTGTAACCATGAGAGAACCAGTGTGTAGATCACCATGGAGTAATGCTTGTGACCTTTCACAGAACCTAAATAGAAAATCAAATCTCTTCAGAAAACCCAGCCACAAAGACTACTATGCACAACAAATCCTACACAGTCAGCCGAGCCAATAAGGTGAATAAACAACTTACTTTGCTTTCAACTCAGCAACTTCAATCTTCAATTCATTATCCTCGCGAACAGCCACCACATCTTGATCAAGGTAAGGTGAATTCCACTTGTTATAATGAGAGACCTTATAAGGATCAGAAAAGACAACCTGCTCGGTGAGCCTGCACATCTCCACATTCCCGCAAAATTCAGCAACTGCAGATATCAGTTTGAGCAAAACCAGATCAAGCAACATTGTCTTCCAGATAAATAATCTACATAGAGCAAGACGGAGAGTTTACCAGCTCGTTTATGCTCGGTGGTTGTGTTATATAGAAGGGAAGTGTAGTAGAGAGTCTTAGCCATGTAATCCGAAACGTGCTCAGCTAGCAATGGGTACTTGATTCCTGCTATCAACCCCTTTCTCAGGATTATATGTGGAGGCTCCAAGTATTTCATCCCTATCAAAGACATTGTACGGTCGAAATGATAGAGTTCAGGAACATGTTCAGGACAAAGTCGGCTGTGCTCTTTAAGAACAGTTGCTTCGAAATATGCCCTTTCCTTAGTCATTGGCCATGACTCTCCAATACAGCGCACATATGGAAGCGCCTAAAGCCAAAAAGATTGCATAGAGCAAAAACCCTTAATTCCAGTGAACAGTGGAGTACTAATCATAGAGCAGAGAAAAGTAATCAAAGATCGATACTTTTGCATATGTATTACAAAACCCAATTACTCAAAACCAAAGATAGCACACCTGCTTGATTACTAAGGACCCAGCTGGGGAAACGACGATGTAGACAAAATTGAGATTGCCATCTCCAACTTCTTGAATCTTCATCTCATCAACGTTGCTTCCAATCTTCTCCGACAAAGCTGGGGTTGCCCTGATGTAGTCGAACAGCGATTTCTCGTCGAGCGGTCTGAACTCGGAGAAGGCCATTTTCTTTGTACTTCAGAAGGGCGGCTGAATCGCGAGGTGGCGGTCAGGGCAAAACCTTGGGTTGTGGGTTTGAGGGGAAGGAGGATTGGGAGTTAAAAAGAGGAGGGAAGGGAAGGAGAGGCAGCGTGCGGAAGCGAAGAGTCAAGAGGTAGGTGAAGAAAATGGAAGGACCAGAGTTTGGAGGAATTGACCGCAGAATCAAATTCGTGGGAATGTAAGGGGTGGCGTTGGTTCAATGAACCTGGTCGGCCATTTTTATGGGTTTAATAACCTGAGATTATCTTGAATGTGGACCAGAGGACCGATGTGACTGTGGGAATGTGTTAATTACGCTCAATGGACAAACAAATTCAGGTTAAATTAATGCATTACCAAATGCAATAAGCTTCTAGAATTAGTGAATTACAGATTTGCTTGTCAATTACAAGCTTTGATGCCTTGAGGCATGGGACATCCATGCTTTCCAATTTCCATATATTAATCCACAGGGGAGAATAAAGTTCATACCTCAGGTTCATGCCTCTTCGAATCTTCGTGATTGAACATTCATAAAATAACAGAAATTTATTTTATCCATCAATTAATTTCATTCTATTGGCTTTGGGCCCAAATCCAAGGGCCCAAATCAAACTAAGCCCGCAAAGCAATCTATATTTTTTGGTAGAAGCAAGGTGTCAACCCGCGGGTCAACCCGAACCCGGTCGAATTAGTGGGTTATGGGTTAATGGGTCACCCGTTTTAGCCCAGATTAGTCTGGTTTAACCCGAAAACGTTAAAATTTCATATATAAATTTATTATTGCATATCAAATTTCATATTAATTATAACATATAACATTACACCAAAATAATAGTTCGTGCAAAAATTTGACCTATAATGAAAATTCAAACGCACTTAAATACACCATATCATATGATATCAGTATATATATGATATTGGTATTCAAATGTAAAATTTTGAATAACTAATTGACTTATATAAACTAGCAAAATAAAATGATTTATTAAATAAACAACACAAGAAAAGGTGGAGTTGGAAAGCCACTTAATCGTCAAAGCCAAAATTAATGAAGCAGAATTATAAAAAAAATCATATTTGACTAAGTAATAAGTAGAGAACAATAATTAAATGTTAAAAATTAACCCTCAAAAGTAGGGATGGCAGTACGGTTATCGGTTACCGATTAACCAGCCGGTTAAACCGATAACCGGCCTGTTATCCACTAATCGGTAACCAAACTTCGGTCGGTTATCGGAGACTAGACGAAATGGTTTATAGTCTTAAAAGTGGGTCGGTTAACCGATAACCGAGAAACCAAAACCTATTTCGGGCGATTTTCGGTAGGGAGAGTGGTTATTTCGGTCAACCGATAACCGACCGATCAATTATCGGTTATAACCGAAATAACCGAAATCCCACCCCTAAAAGCATTGCATCCATCTGTTAGTATTTATTTATGAATTGGGTGGGGTCCCTCATGTCCACTTTCACGTGGACTAAGAATGAAAAGCACCATCATATACAAATTTGGGAACCGCTGCTGGGTGTTGACTCGCCCGGGTTTGCTGGGTGTTTACCGGCTTAAAACGCGGTTGACCATTCCGGGTCATTTGTTAAACGGGTGTATGTGACCTGTTTCTGTTACCGGGTCCGGATCAATTTGGATCCACCTACGGGTTGACAACCTTGAGTAAAAGCAAAGCAATTAAATTATTATATGGTTAGAAATGAATAATTTTCACATTTTTATATCATATTCACAGACATTTGCTCGATAATTGCTCAAGGTGTGTTTCAGGAGTCTAGGATTATTTTTAGGGACCGTTTGCTTCGTTGATTTGAAAAATTAAGATTTTGGTATAACATGGGTTTTGAAAAACCATGAATATACGAGGGTTTCAGATGTTTTCAGACCAGAGTATTCTAATGGACCACCTTACTCGAGTTGAAGGCGTCGTTGATCTGTTGTAGGCTTGTAGCAATCAGAGAAAGCATGAGGTTTAGAGCCAAAAACAACACCAGAAAACGGTGGCAATGCACCGTTTCCAATGGTCATGTGATTTGATGATTCAGCAATCCATACTTGGAAGCAAGCCCAAAATCCAGAAAAGTGAGACGAACTGGTTGAAGCCAAAATTGGCTGTCTGGGCGCCGATTTGGTGGTATGGCCGACTAAAAACCATGGCCATTTAGAAATTACGTTTAAAAGTCGATTTTTACAGAAGCAGCAAGGATCCAAGTTCTTTTTACGTTTCCCCTATGGTTAGCCACAAGAAAACGACCTGAAGAAACTCTAAAGGCACGAAAAAGGAGGAAGAAGTGAAGATCAGAACTGGAAATTGCTATGGTGACTTTTATCTCTTCACTATTGTAATCTCTTTTGTGTTCATGGATAACTAAACCTTAGATTGTTCAAGTTATGTAAAACCTAGGGGTATGGATTGATTATGTTATATGAGTGTGGTTGAAGTTATAGTATGGATTACTGTCATTTGATTACAGATTGTACAAAAACTACATCCCTTTGTGGTGTAGCCTACGAAATCTCTACTCCTATTTGGATGAGACTAAACACGGTCATCCCCTACGATTGGTCATCAATCGATTGGACCGCATGACATATGAAGGGAGAGATTCGTAGGGTCCTTGTTGCCTATCAGGTCGAGCAAATGTCATGACACAAGATAGGAGGAATTTCGTGCAATTCAATCCACTCAAATAGCATTATGGTCCATTGAACCTAGCGAAGTATGAACTGGATGATCGCTCATATCCCCTCTTGGTACTCTTTGCGTCATACTTTCATTTTAAGTTGCTTTAAATTTTTTTATATTAAGTGTTTTAATTTAGTCTTTTGTTGGATCTGAGTACAATTACTAATTTTGAGTAGTTTGAGTAAATACATCTAAGCACCCCTCGCGTGCTCGATAAATTTGGTATCACGCTTTTTCAAATCATCGATAAAAGGTTGGAGGGTCTAGAAGGTGACATGGCTGAAGGAGATCATTGATAACAACATGATAATGTTGACTAAAAGGGTAGATGAACTCGAGTGACGCCCTAATATGCCAACATGGCAACCAAGGAGGCCGCCCTAAAAATAATTACCTTACGGAGAGGAAGGGAGATATTGCCTCTCCAGGCCGCTCCCAACAAGGGTAGGGCCCCCTCACCTTTTCAAAGACAACTAGCTCCTCCATCATCTCCCCCGCTCCATGATACAACTCCTTACCCTTCCATGGTTGTTCAATGACCAATTCCGCTGTGTACCGAGTAACGTCTCCTTCTGCCAACATGTTGATAATTTGGGTTGAAGGAGCATTTAAGTTTTTGTAAAACCATTGTGCTACTTGCTCTGGGCTAAACCCATATGTGGTCAAGATTGAAGTAGCCATTGATAACGAGCCCTAGTTTCATGGAATGCCTCACCTTCTTTCTGTTTGAACCTCCATATTTGGTCATTAATTTCATGAGCCTTCCATGCAGGGAAGTATTCCTCTAAGAAGGATTGAGAAAGTATTCCATGTTTTGAAGGTTCTAGCAGAACAAGATTGCATCCAATATTTTTCTCTTCCTGTCGAGGAGAAGTCAAAGAGTTTTAAGTTAAAAGCATTCATGGAGACTCCACGAGGTCTCATAGAGTCGGCAAACTGCAAGAAGTCTCTTAGATGGGAAGTTGGATCATCATCTTCCCCACCAAAACCAATGCCTTTGTTTTCTAGTAGTTGAATCAAGCTAGTGAGTTCATAGCTAGACAATGTAATTTTTGGTAGCAATGCTAGAGGTGAATCCTGATGCTTTTGGGCGAAAGCAGTCAACCAAGGTGCATAGAGCTTTTTCTGCCATCTCGTGGATGCTACATGGCTATCAAAATTCCACGTGATGGTTGTTTTTTGCCACTGTAAAAGAAAAACGCCTTGGCCGCCAAAATGTGATGAAATTTCATAGCCCTGGACACATATTTTTTCCCTCGTATGTGCTTCTGCCTTTTCGAAGTCAGGCACGTGCACATACAGAATATCCCGTTCAAAGGAGCTACGAGGCGTGGAGTTACAGAAACAATGAAATTAACAAAAATATGTAAAAAACAAAGGTGCAACTAAAGATCTCTTTCCTACAATCGATTAGGGTCTCCGACAACGGCGCCAAAATTTGTTGTGTTGTAGAATAGAGTCAAATTTACTAAGTAGACAAAGCCTACTCATATCTTATTAACTCGGGTCCCTAATCGAGCAATTACTCAAAACCTAAAACTGCATCCTTGATCGTATGGAAAGACTAAACTTAAATCAAAGTAAAAAAAGCAAAATGAAATCAAATGTTAAAATTAAGCAATATGAAAAGGTGGCCATTCAGATTATGCTTCCCTTAGATTTGATGGACGTATGTCCCGGGTGAATTGATCGATTATGCAAAGCAATTCACCTTGTCATGTGTCTAATGATGGATAGATTTAGCAGACTATGATGGGTCCTGCAAATTTCCCTCTTGAGGAGTCAGGGTAGCTTAATCGATTAATGATCAATTGTGCAGAGATAGAAATTCCCAAATCTCATCCAAATCACAAAACATATTTGAAGCTATCAATAAGAAGGGACGATAAATTCGATTATAAACGCAATCGAATTGAAATAAACACAAGCGTATAACGTAAGTAAATCAATCAAGAATCAATCAATCACATAATCCACTCTATACATGATCCCTAGGGTTCTACATAATTCGAAAAATCTAGGGTTCTATCTATCAATAACAAAACAAGAGCTTACAAGAGGGGAAGAAGGGGATACATATCACCATGACGACGTCCTTCTCTAATCTTCCTTCTTTCTACTTCTTCGTGCCTCCAAGAGAGCTTTCTGCTTGTATTTTGTAGCTAAAACCCTAGGGGACCATCAAAAGACAAAGTTTGTATGTTGTTGCTCAAAAACTAGCTTTTATACTCGCTCTTCCAAAATGGCGCCCTAAGCGATGCTTTATATAAGGAAATGGCGCATGTGCTGCCTTTTGTGGTTGTTTACTTTGTCGAGTAGTCAAAGGACAATTTTTCCTCAAAATGGCTTTCATTTTGGCGGACTGGAGTACAAAAAGGCACCAGGACCATCGTTTCTGCGTTTTGACTGCTCCGTATCGTCAACTTGACTAAGCTTTTTCTCCCTCGTTCGAACTCTGAATTGGTCTCT